GTGTGTGTGTGTGTGTGTGTGTGTGTGTGTGTGTGTGTGTGTGTGTGTGTGTGTGTGTGTGTGTGTGTGCGCGCACGCGTGAGCTTTCGCTTTGGTTTGTGGCTCTACATCAACACTTGCTGCGTGTGGGGGCATGGAGCGTCGCGACTTGGGGCAGCCTCATTTGACGGGCGCCGCCCTGCCTCACACACCATCATGGCGCTCACCAACGCCTGCCCCCCTTCCTTCTTCCCAACCCCTCCACCCCTGCCCCTGTCCAACCCCGGCGGCCCCCACCCCGCCAGGTCGTGCGCACCAACCTGCTAGGCGCCCTGCTGTGCGCGCGCGAGGCGGCGCGGCGCCTGTCGCGGCAGCCTGACGGCGGCCACATCTTCCTGATGGACGGCGCGGGTTCCGGTGAGAAGCCGGGTTTGGGGGGGCGGGGGGGGCGGCCCAATCCACAGCCACGTGCTCGGACCGGTCAGCAGCCAGAGCTTTCGCACCACCCAGCAACTCCGCTTTGCTGCCGTCACCATCACCTGACTGCATGCCTCAACCACTCCCCATCGCGCCCGCAAAGCCCATTTATCGTGGCCCGAGACAATTCCTTGTCCCCTGCACTGCCCGTCACCATCGTCCGACTGCGGTGTCCCACCCACTCTCCACCCCACCCGCATTGCCGCCCCAGACGGTGGCGCGACGCCCTACTACGCAGCCTATGGCGCCACCAAGGCCGCCCTCCCGCAGCTGGCCCTCACCCTGCGGCGCGAGCTCGGCGCGGCCGCCTCCCAGCGCCACAACGCCGGCGCCCGGCAGCAGTCGCGGCAGCTGCGGGAGGGCGGCGACGACGGTCAGCAGCAGCAACAGGAGCAGCAAGAGGAGCAGCAGCAGCAGCAGGAGCAGCAGGAGCGGCACCCCGTGGGCGTCCACGTGCTGTCCCCCGGGATGATGATCACTGACCTGCTGCTCGAGAACGCCAGCCACGCCAACAAGCAGGTTTGGGGGTTGGGTTATTTACAGGATGTTCCGTCCAACCCCTGCTCTTGCTGCAGCGCCATCGGCACTTGCGCAGGGCCGCCGCGCACGGCCTGCGTGAACTGTCCAAGCCTGCAAGTCGTCCTTGCTCGTTGCGCGCGGTTCGTCGCGTGCGCCGCTTGTCCCGCCTCACTCTATAATCATACGCCAGTGCCGCCCTTTTCGCTTATTCGAGCCCACCCTCAGCCCTACCCCTTTGGTCCTCAAACCCCGCCATCCTCCAGCCCCAAACTTCAACTCCTCCATCAACAATGCCCCCGTCCCCCCCCCCCAAAACACACACAATCCAGGTGTTCAACATCCTCTGCGAGCACCCAGAGACCGTCGCCGCCTTCCTGGTGCCCCGCCTCCGCACCGCCGTCGCCCGCGGCCAGGGCGGCAGCTACACGCGCTACCTAACGCCGGCGGCGGCGGCCTGGCGCTTCCTGACCGCCCCCGCGCGCGTCGGGCGCTTTTTCGACGGAGAGGGGCGGCCCGTGTACGCGCCCGAGGGCGAGAGGATCCTCGGCCGCGGCGCGCGCGCGACGCGGCGCGCGCAGGCCGCGGCGGCGGCGAGGGGCGGCGCGCTGCGGGCGGCGTACTCGCTGAGCGTGCTGGTCGCGGCGGCCGGCGTCGTAGCGGCCGACGCTGTGGCAAAGGCGGCCGGCCAGTGACGTAGGGTGGCGGTGCGGGTTTGTGGCGCCCCTGGCGCGTCCCCGCAGTGCTCCCGCTGCACCCAAAGCCACGGCTGCAGCCTTCGCTCGCGTGCAGAGGCGAGGGCCGCCTGCCATCGGCCCCGGAGGCGCGTGCGCACGCGCCCGGCGTGCTCAGTGCAAGCTGCGCCCGCTGCTCCGGGACAATAGTACACCTCTTACGTGATGTTGGCTGCTGGGCCTGGTGCGGTTTCTTTTCCGTACAGCTCTGACGTTCATCGGGCTGCCTTTGATTCGACCCCTTGAAATTGATGACCCCCGCGCCCCCACGCCCGCCGCTCATAATTCCACCAAACTTGTGGCGTTTCTGGCCCGCTGTCGCTACGGGGCTGCCACGTGCTTCGGGGCCACATGGGCCTGCGCCTCAAATTTGCGGTGCAGCGGTTCCTTGAGAGCTGCTGGAATGGATGAGGAGCGGCCCCCCTGCTGCGCGCGGCCCTGCCGCGGCGGCGTTCTGAGCGCGTGGCTCAAGCTCCCACTGCCCAGGAGTACTGCATTTGGCGGCGCGCACGGGGGCGCGCAAAATACGTAGCACTGGACACGAGGGGCTGGAAATCTGCGGGGCTGCTGACCCTTTGTACCACCACCGCCGCGCACCGCACCGCGCGCCCCCCACTGCTGGCCCGCAAACGCCGCTCGCGCGCCCGACGCGGCGTCGCCGCATCTCCTTTGCGCCAAACATTGCTGGCGCGAGCGCTTGCGCGCCTCGATTCGTTCGCCCAGGCCGCTCGTCCCCCTGTCAGATCCGAGATTGGTTTCCGCGGGTGCGGCACCCGGCGACGGCTTGATCCCTCCCGTGAAAGCGTCAATTGTTCCCGCCCCTGTGCACAGGGCGCCAAAGCACCCCAGGCTCGTTGACCCGCGCCGCTGCTGCCCCGACCTGCGTGCCCTTCCATGACAAGTGCGCCGCTTGCCGCCTTGGACCGCTCTTTGACCAAATCAGCCCATTGCCCTCATTTGGTCACAGACGGGTGAGTGGCGGAACTACCCAGGTGAGGGCTGCACAGCTAGCCCGTGCACCGCCAGCGATGGCGGTTGGCCGGGCTCGCACATCGGCCGGACTGCGCCCCTCCCAACCGGGAACACCGCCGCTGCTGGTCCGGCGCCGGGGCAGGCCGCCGGCCCGCCTGAATTGCTTGGGCAGGGCACGTCTCGCCGCCGCGCAGGCGGCTGGACTGACCCACACCTGCCCCCTTGTATGTTTCCAGCCAGCGCGCACGCGCGCCCGCTGCTGCGCCTGCTGCTGCAGCTGTGCGTGCGTGAATGTCTGGCTGGCTGCCTGCAGACCAGCCGTAGGCCCTCCGACTTCCGATGCTGCCGCACCTGTATTGCGCAGCATGCCCTCCTGACCTGTTGGGGGCGATGATTCAGCTTGTGCGTGGACTAGAGAACAGGAATTTACAAAAGTACAAGTCGGGCGCATTCTGGAGATTGGGCAGACACCCTGTGTGCGAGGGTGTCAAGAAATTACTGGACATTACACAGAAAAGCACTCTGCGACACGCCCCTGTGTGTAATCAACTATCCACGCGAACCTCAATTAGGCCATGACAGCGAGCTGACTGGGCTCGCTCTACGCTCGCGCCATATGTTGCGTGCACCCAGCCGCCGCATGGGGTTGCTTGTGGTGGTGTGCTGGTGTGCTGGATGCCCCCAGCAAAGCAAGCGTGCCCTGTTAGTAGCAGGTGTCCCTGCAGACAGGGATGGGGCGTTGGCAACGGCCACGTCAAGGCGCGCGGGTTGGCTTACATGTTTGGAAATTCTGCTTTGCCCAATAAGAGCATGCGGCAGGCACGTGATTCCCATTGATTCATGCAGGCAAGAGGAGCCTGGGGTGGGTGGGCCTGCTGCCATCCACGGCAAATCCTAAGGGCGGTTGAAGCGGTTGGGAGCGGCAGAACCCATCCCAGCACACAGCAAAAGGCGTAGCCCAGCAGTACCTGAGCTGACCTGGACGCCCCAGCGGGGTGGCTGCAAAGTATTGTAGTCACGCAGCGCGTGGCTTCAATGCATGGGGCAGCATTTCGAGGCCCTGACCCCGCCCTTCGATGCTTGGGACCCCTCGCGTCACGGGCAAATGCTGCACAGGGGCGCTTGTAGCTTCTCAGTTGCAGGCGGGTGGGGGCCCGCTGTGCCCTGCAGGAGCCGCCGTCTGGCCTGTTGCGCAGCTGGTCTGTGGCTGGGGCCGCTGGTGATTCTCACGCTGCCCCTGCAGGGCCCACTCCGCCACTTGTGCTTGAGGCTGACTCAACAGGCCTCGCAGCGCACAAATGATTGTTTACTGGTGCCTAAAAAAGCGACTGACTACGTTTCACCATCAAGAATTGCGGAGTGCCAGGAGTGCGCAGCCCGGCAGGCCGCGCACGCGGCGCACTGCAAGAATAACCCAGCATCACATATGCTCACGTTTGGAAAAGAAGCCTGCTGCCCGCCCACATGCTCGTTTCCCTCGTGCTCCCCTCTCCGCCCCGCCTTGCCGGCTCGATCCCGCCGTCTCGCCCCACGCCGACGGCGAGCCCTCCAAAGCAGCACCAGAGCACGCGCCCCCACTGCACGCGCCGCCGGTGCGGGCAGGCCCCCGCTCCCTACCATTGCAAACGAGCGCCCTCGCAGCAGCGGGGAAAAGGCGCACCCCACGTCTTGCAAGCCGCCGCGGCAGGGCCCCAAATGTGCGGCCAGATCACCCAGATGGGATGATCGCAGCCAGATCGAGCGGATGATCTACTAGGCTGCCGACTTGATGTACTCGATCGCCTTGGCGCAGATCTGGGTCATGGAGGTCTCTGGGCCGTACACCTGGGGGGGGGGGGGCGGCAGCAGCACCAGGCATGTAGGGCAGCAGCGAGGACGATGGCTGGAGCAGACGTAGGAGGGCTGCGAGCTGGTGCCGACGGGCATCCATCCCCTTGGTGCCCGTGGCGCCAAGCACCCCCTCGACCCCCCCGGGCATCAGGGTCGCCGAAGCGCCAGGCGAAGCCACCAGCGCCAGCGAAAACACATTCCCCACCGTTGCTGCAAATCAGGGCGAACCCAGCTCGCGCAGGACCAGGTCAAACGACGCGGTCAAACCCGGTCCAGATCATCGCCGCTCGAGCGCGGGCACGGCTGCGTCGGACTCACCTCCACGGGGATGTCGAGCTCGCTGCCAATGGCCTTCATGGCGGCGAGGCCGGTCTGGTAGTTGGGGCCGCCGCGGCGCACGAAGAGCCGCAGCTGCGCCGCCTTGATGGCTTCGGCCTGGGGGCAGAGGGGTGGGGTTGAGATTGCACGTGTGACCTTGCACATGAGCGCACGCGCGAGCGCGCACACACACACACACACACACACACACACACACACACACACACACACACACACACACAGAGAGAGAGAGAGAGAGAGAGAGACGTCCACACAGGCACGCAAACGAGCACACGCGCAACCGCTGATGAGCAAGCACAACCACAGCACCCCAAATGACCCCACCAGCCCGCCCCACCTGCTCCCTGAGGGCCTGTATGATGCCCTTGAAGGTCGCGGCCACATCAGTGAAGTTGGCAATGCCGCCGCCAATCAGCAGCGCGCGCCCGCGGCCGTCGGGGTTGGCTGCAAGGCGAAAGCGGGCAGGGCGGCGCGGCGCGGGGGTGCGGCGCAGGGATTAGCAGAGGAGGCGATGGCAGGTGGGTGAGTGGGTAGCTGGATGGGCGATGCTAATTCAGCAAAGCAAGGGACGGCAGACCTACTAGCTGCTGCGAAGTCCCGGGCCTCGACACACACGCTGACGTATGCACATGCACACGTGGAATTGCTCACACACCCACCCACCCGCACATCCACCCACCCAACCCCACCCCTTTGTCC